ACTTCAAGCAAATAGCAAGGAAAAAAAGGCAGGTGTTGCAATTCTCATATCAGACCAAGTGGATTTCAAAGTAAGACAGGTAAAGAGAGACACAGAGGGACAATATACAATGATCAAAGGGACACTTCCTCAAGAAGAAATAACGCTTATAAATATCTATGCACCCAACACAGGAGCACCAAGATTCATAAAGCAACTATTAACAGACCTAAAGGAAGATGTTAAAAACAACACAATAATACTAGGGGACCTCATCACCCCACTCACATCAATGGACAGACCATCCAGACAGAAAATCAACAAGGAAATAGTGGAGCTAAATGAAAAACTAAAACAATTGGACTTAATAGACATATATAGATCACTCCACCCTGAAAGAGTTGAATACACATTCTTCTCAAGTGCACATGGAACATTCTCTAGGATAGACCATATGTTGGGAAACAAGGCAAGCCTTTACAAATTTAAAAAAATTGAAATAATAACAAGCATCTTCTCAGATCATAGTGCTATAAGGCTAGAAATTAATTACAAGAAAAAAGCTGAGAAAGGCACAAAGATGTGGAGACTAAACAACACACTACTGAACAAGCAATGGATCATTTAAGAAATTAAGGAAGAAATAAAAAAATACCTGGAAACAAATGAAAATGATAGCATGCCATACCAACTCATATGGGATAGAGCAAAAGCTGTATTAAGAGGAAAATTCATCGCAATACAGGCACATCTTAACAAACAAGAAAAATCCCAAATAAGCAACCTTAAAGCACACCTAACTGAACTACAGAAAAAAGAACAAATGAAGCCCAAAGTCAGCAGAAGGAGAGAAATAATAAAAATCAGAACAGAAATAAATACTATTGAAATGAAAAAGACAGTAGAAAGGATCAATGAGACAAAGAGCTGGTTTTTTGAGCAGATAAATAAAATTGACAAACCACTAGCCAGACTTAGAAAGAAAAAAAGGGAGAAAACTCAAATAAACAAAATCAGAAATGAGCGAGGAGAAATAACAACAGACTCTGCAGAAATACAACAGATTATAAGAGAATACTACAAAAAACTATATGCCAACAGAATGGATAACCTAGAGGAAATGGATAAATTCTTGGACTCCTACAATCTCCCAAAGCTCACTCAAGAAGAGGCAGACAATTTGAACAGACCAATCACAAGGAAAGAGATTGAAACAGCAATCAAAAGCATCCCAAAGAATAAAACCCCAGGACCAGATGGCTTTCCTGGGGAATTCTACCAAACTTTCAGAGAGGATTTAATACCTATCCTTTTCAAGCTATTCCAAAAAATTAGGGAAGATGGAACACTTCCTAACACATTCTATGAGGCCAACATCACGCTGATACCAAAACCTGACGAGGACACCACAAAGAAAGAGAACTACAGGCCAATATAACTGATGAACATAGATGCAAAAATTCTAAACAAAATTTTGGCAACCAGAATTCAGCAATTCATCAAAAGATCATCCATCATGATCAGGTGGGATTTATACCAGGGACACAGGGATGGTTCAACATCCGCAAATCAATCAACGTGATAGACCACATCAACAAACTGAGGAATAAAAACCACATGATCATCTCAATAGATGCAGAGAAGGCATTTGACAAGATCCAACAGCCATTTATGATAAAAACTTTGAACAAAATGGGCATAGAAGGAAACTACCTCAACATAATAAAGGCCATATACGACAAACCCATAGCCAACATCATACTCAATGGGCAAAACCTGAACCCCGTCCCCCTGAAAACAGGAACGAGACAAGGATGCCCTCTACCACCACTCTTATTTAACATAGTACTGGAGGTCCTGGCCAGAGCAATCAGGCAAGAAAAAGGAATAAAAGGAATCCAAATAGGGAAGGAAGAAGTGAAACTCTCGCTGTTTGCAGACGACATGATCTTATATATAGAAAACCCCAAAGAATCCATTGGAAAACTGTTAGAAGTATTCAAGAACTACAGCAAAGTTGCAGGGTATAAAATCAATTTGCATAAATCAGTAGCATTTCTATACTCCAGTACTGAACCAACAGAAAAAGAACTCAAGAATACAATACCATTCACAATCGCAAGAAAAAGAATAAAATACCTTGGGGTAAATTTAACTAAGGAAGTGAAGGACCCATATAATGAAAATTACAAGGCCTTTCTGAGAGAATTGGATGACGACATAAGGAGATGGAAAGACATTCCATGTACATGGATTGGAAGAATAAACATAGTTAAAATGTCTGTTCTACCTAAAGCAATCTACAGATTCAACGCCATCCCAATCAGAATCCCAATGACATTCTTTACAGAATTAGAACAAAGAATCCTAAAATTCATATGGGGCAACAAAAGACCCTGAATTGCTAAAGCAATCCTGAGAAAAAAGAACAAACCTGGAGGCTTCACAATGCCTGACTTCAAAACATACTACAAAGCTACAGTAATCAAAACAGCATGGTATTGGTACAAAAAAAGGTGCACAGATCAATGGAACAGAATTGAAAGCCCAGAAATAAAACCACACATCTATGGACAGCTTATCTTTGACAAAGGAGCTGAGGGCATACAATGGAGAAAAGAAAGTCTTTTCAACAAATGGTGCTGGGAAAACTGGAAAGCCACATGTAAAAGAATGAAAATTGACCATTCTTTTTCACCATTCACCAAAATAAACTCAAAATGGATCAAAGACCTAAAGGTGAGACCTGAAACCATAAGGCTTCTGGAAGAAAACGTAGGCAGTACACTCTTTGACATCAGTATTAAAAGGATCTTTTTGGACACCATGCCTTCTCAGAGAAGGGAAACAATAGAAAGAATAAACAAATGGGACTTCATCAGATTAAAGAGCTCCTTCAAGGCAAATGAAAACAGGATTGAAACAAAAAAACAACCTACTAACTGGGAAAAAATATTTGCAAGTCATATATCTGACAAAGGCTTAATATCCACAATACATAAAGAACTCTCGCAACTCAACAACAAAACATCAAACAACCCAATCAAAAAATGGGCAGGAGACATACACAGACATTTCTCCAAAGAAGATATACTGATGGCCAATAGGCACATGAAAAGATGCTCATCATCGCTGATCATCAGGGAAATGCAAATCAAAACTACACTAAGATATCACCTTACACCCGTTAGAATGACAAAAATATCTAAAAATAATGGCAACAAATGTTGGAGAGGTCGTGGAGAAAAAGAAACCCTCATACACTGCTGGTGGGAATGCAAACTGGTGCAGCCACTATGGAAAACAGTATGAAGATTCCTCAAAAAATTAAAAATAGAACTACCATACGATCCAGCCATCCCACTACTGGGTATTTATCCAAAGAGCTTGAAGTCAGCAATCCCAAAAGTCCTGTGCACCCCAATGTTTATTGCAGCACTGTTTACAATAGCCAAGACGTGGAACCAACCTAAGTGTCCAGCAACAGACGAATGGATAAAGAAGATGTGGTACATATACAATGGAATACTACTCAGCTGCAGAACAGAACAAAATCATTTCATTTGCAATAACATGGATGAACCTTGAGAGAATTATGTTAAGTGAAATAAGCCAGCGAGAGAAGGATAATCTGTGTATGACTCCACTCATATGAGGAATTTAAACATGTGGACTAAGAACAGTTTAGTGGATACCAGGGGAAAGGTGGGGTGGGGGGTGGGCACAAAGGGTGAAGTGGTGCACCTACAACACGACTGACAAACATTAATGTACAACTGAAATTTCACAAGATTGTAACCTATCAATAACTCAATAAAAAAAAATAAAAAAAAGAGAGACCTGGCCATCAGCCAGAGAGAAATTGGTTCTGAGGAGGCTTTTGTTTCAAGAATGAAGAGATTGAATGAGTTTAAGGGGAGGGATGGGAACATGGTGGCGAGGTTGTTGGTGAAGGAGATTTGGTTTATAAGTAGTAATAGTCTTTGAGAGAGCAGGAAAGAAAGGAATATATTTGCAGGAACTGGCTTAGCCAGGGATAGAGATGAACTTTAACAGGTGAGGGGTCACTAGTGGTAGGAGTCTTTATGCATTTCATGGCAGTGAACTGAAATATATTTTCAAATTATCTAATTCATCTGTGTAGCAGGAGATGATCCGATTTGTAGAAAATGAAGGGAAAGGTGAGAATTTGTGAGACTGATGCATGGGGGAGGCCTGAACATTCATGAATCATGGAAGAATGATTGAATTATCATGATATAATAGGATATATTTATAAAAAGACATTGGGAGATGTGGGACACTGATTAGACCTGTCAGCATCCTAATCTTTTGCTGTGACAGATGCAGCCACGGGAAAGGGAGATAGCTGGAGTGATCTGGGATTGTACCTTCTTCAGAAGATGTGGTGAAAAGTTGGGTGGCATGAGATGTGTTTGTTTTGATACATGTCTGTTGAGATGAGTAAGTGTGGGTTAAATGGGGTCAGTGAAACTGAGGGAAAGTGGGGGCTGATGTCTGGGGAGGTTGGTCAATATATTGGAGGTTCCCCTGTGAGAGGACCTGGGCATGAGGAGTAACTTTGTGAACAGCTGAAAGAAGAAGGGTTGTGGGAAGAGAGAGATCTCTGGCCGTTGACCTGAGAGGTGACATGTCAGCTAAAACCTGGGTCTGGGTCTAGGTAAAACTCTCTACATGAGCACATGTAATTATATGAGATTTGGAGACAGGCAGAGCTGAGTTAAAATTCCAGCTCTATCATCTTATAGCCATGTCATTTTGTCTTACCCGTGAAGCTTTCTAAGCCAGTTTATGTCATTTGCTAACCATAAACAGTAGTGTTGTTATGGAGACTAAATAAGCAAACCTATGTAATTGCAGTTGCAGGGTCTCAGTTTATTTATCAGATAATTTCTCTGGACCTCAGGCTTAAAGAGTTGTGATCATAACCTTGTTCATGACACATTATCATAATTTGTCCATGCAGTACATTTATTAACAGTGTTTTTCATATTTTACAGTTGAAAGATGCTTCCATATACATCGACTACGACTATGACATGAAGGGATGTTCCTGTGGATCAGAATTACTAGGACAGAGCTCCAGCTACCATTTCACTACAATGTCAGAAATAGTCAACTAAAGTTCCTTCGCTGTGTGACTTATGAGTCTTCCTGTGGGGAATGTGGGAAAAAAGAGTAACATTATCATGGGTGTGCTAAGGGTTTTGTGCTGTGCACGGGATTTTAGTGCTATATTTGCATGATGAGAGTTACTGAACCCTCCAACAAGAGAGGAATCTTTGAATTCTTGCACACTACCATTCAGCAGACTCCACAGTAGCCTGGTCGCATATCCAGGGATGTGGAGGATGGAGCCAGGGTTGCACTGATATTGCCTGAATCCCCATGTGGAGGAGCCAAGATGATTGAGGGCAAGTATATGCAGGGAGTGGGGAAGGAGTACAGAGGGAGGATGTGGGCTGCTAGGGGCTAGTGTAGGTACTGAAGAACCAGTGCTAATACACCTAACCAAGAAGTATCAAATCAGAAATCATATAAGGCTGCCCTTGTTTGTGGATGCAAGAATCTCCATGTAACATAAGTCAGGTTCTTCCAGGATGTGGCATCAGGGAAGGACCTGAATACTATCTCTATAGACCAGGTCTAATTAAAGCATAAAACCATAAAACACTATGGCTGTCAATTGTTATCTGTAAAATAAGGATGTTAGTATCTTCCTTGTGATCATCAGTAGAGTAGCTAAAGCCTTCTTGCTGTGACCCTAGGCAAAGAGACTGCTTCCCCTGTTTGTCTTACATCGTTCTTCATGCAAGTGTGGTTTGAGCTGGCAGATTCACTGCCATGTGAAGGGTTAGGCTTTCAGGACAGGTATATGTACAAGTGGTGGAAAAGACTGAAGTCTCATGGCTTCTTTTTCTTTTGTCAGCTTTGTCTGCTTAGTTATCAGACTTTCCTTTGGTGGGAAGTCTAAGGAAGATGGGGCAGCCGAGCTCTTGAGAATGCACCCACAGGTGAGTAGGAACTTGCTCTCGCTCCTCAATTGATGCTTCTGTTACCAGCGGATAGGTAGGTTTCTCCCATTGGCCTGGATCTTCTCGGTGCAAGCAGGAAATGTTAGTCTGTTATGTTTCGGTAGGGTTCTGGGAGGCTTATGGCAGGTCCAGGACTGATAAATAAATAACCTCCTTCCTACATTTACACTAATTTAGTCAATTCTCCATTAAAAATGTCCTTGCAGAGAAGAGATGTGAATGGTTTTTTCTTTTTCCTTATCCAGCCCATAGCCTTGGTGGAGAAATAAGTCGCTCGTTAACATTGTTAGTGACTACAGTGGCCTTAGGCAAGTGGTTAACAGGTGTGGAGATGAGTAAGAGTGAAGGTTCTATTCCAGTATTGGGGGATATTTCATCAAGTGAGTTCAATCAATCCAGTGTCACAGGGGCGGGGGTGGAGGCTGTGTAGCCTTGAGGTGGTGGGTTCAAGAGAGGATTGGACCACAGAGAGCAATGAAGAGTCATCTATTTATTTTCACCAATTTTGAATTTATTAAAATTTTATAAAAAATACTTTGACATTTTGGTAACTTAAAAAAAGGTAACTAGACCCGGCACTAGTGATCTAGTGGATAAGGTTCATTGCTCTCACTGCTGCGGCCTGGGTTCATTTCACGGTCTTAGAACCCCACCACCCATCTGCCAGTTGTCATACTGTGGCAGTGGCTCACTGAGAACTAGACTAGCAACTAGGATACACAAGCATGCACTGAAGCTTTAAAACAAAAAAGATAAATTTGTCTTATTCCCTTCCCAAAACCCAGTTTGTTTCTTTGTAATTAACTTTTGATCAAATTTGAAAGTGAAACACAATGTCTGGAGAATATTTTATTAATTTTAAAAGGCTGTGTGTTGAGAAGGAATATAGTAAATAGAATAAAATTTCAGATTATGTGGCCATTTTGGGGGGACTGGAGTGACCATGTACAGTTAAGAGGCTTCTTTTACCTGTTAGCAGATGGATAGGATTAAACTACAAGAGAAACAATGATAGCTGATGCTTGGAGGTCCCAGAGAAAACTGACAGTGGAAACCTCACTGTGGGATGGGGCAGGCTAGGGCCATCCTTCTGTGTGGAATCATCAGGGTTGTGTTGCTGGACCATCTGTCCTTCTATCTCATAGTGAACACAGGGAATGTGGAGATGAGAGAGAGAGGCTGCACCTGCCAATCCATGATCTCTCTTGAGTCTGTTCAGTTCTGCAGAATGGTCAGCACTGCTTCATCATGCTCCACCTTTGAATAATGGTGTACTTATTACTTATGTTTACTGAGTGTTTGTTATAAAGGAATTGCTTTGCAAATTAGCTTGTTGGATCTGTCAACATTTGTAGCAGGTTTTTAAACCATTTCACAAAGGAGAAATGTCACAGCCGATGGATATTGCTGGCTTTGTGATGTCTGTGATTTCCTTGAAACTGATAATAGTGAGAGTCTAGTTATGTATTCTTAAGTTCAAAACTTATGCTATATTATATATACCAGACTAGATTTGAGATTTACCACTTTATTCAGGAGTGCTATATTTTCTTATTGATTTTTGTTCTAGTTTTTCTATCCACTATTGAGAATGGGATATTGAGGTTTCTAAATATTATTATAAAACTGTCTATTAATTCTATCATTTTTTTCTTCATACATTTGGACTGCTTTGTTATACACATATTTATGATTGTTGTATCTTGATGAATTTTCCTGTTTATCAATATATAATGTCCTTTGTCACTTTAATATTTGTGACTTAAAATCTCAGCCACCACAGCTTTCTTTTGGTTACCGTTTGTGTGAAATATTTTTATCCGTCTCTTAACTTTCAAACTATTTGTTACTTTGGTAGCACAGAGTCTCTTGTGGACAGCATTAAGTTGAATCATGGTTTTTTTTTAATCCATTACCCTTTGGTGGAAATGTAAATTGGTACAACCATTATGGAAAAGTGTATGGCATTCCCCAATCTTTGCTTTTTAATTGGAGACTTTAATCCATTTCTATTTTGTATTTTATTGATCTTTTTCCTGGGGTCCAATTTTTCTTTTCTTCTGATTTCCTTTTCTGTATATTTTTAGTCATTTTCTTAGTGGTTACCCTGAGAATTTCAATTAATCTCATCAATTATAACAGTCCAGTTTGAATTAACACAAACTTAGATGCAATTTTGTACAAAAACTGCCCCTCTTTGGCACTCTTACTCCTTTTATGTTGCTTTTGTCACTTATTACACTTTTTACATTGCATATTCATTAACATAGATTTATAATTGCTGTTTATGCGTTAGTGTTTTTTAAGTCATATAGGAAGATAGAAAAAAATAGTGGTTCTACACCAGAAAACCTTTAATACTGTTTTTTATATTTGTTATGTACTTACCTACAGTATTATGATGTATATTAATATATATGTATTTTTTTTTTTGAGGAAGTTCTACCCTGAGCTAACATCTGCCAATCCTCCTCTATTTGCTGAGGAAGACTAGCCCTGAGCCAACATCCGTGCCCATCTTCCTCTACTTTATATGTGGGATGCCTACCACAGCATGGCTTGCCAAGTGGTGCCATGTCCACACCCAGGATCCGAACCAGTGGACCCCAGGCCGCCAAAGTGGAATGTGCGCATTTAACCACTGTGCCACCAGGCCAGCCCCTATTAATATATATTAAAGATGTGCCTTGTAACTTAAGTAAAACCATTAAAAGAATGGTAGAAGTTTCACTCTAAGGGAAATAATGGAATAACGAAAAATAATTTAAAAGAAAGTTAAGTAGGGGGGAAAAGGAAATCTGGAATAGGCAGGACAAAGAGAATGCACATAGTGAGATGAAGACTTAAACCCAAATATGTCAGTAATTACGCTAAATATAGATGGACTGAGTGTTCCAATCAAAAAGCAAAGATCATCAAACTAAATGCAAAACAAAATGCAACTATTTGCTTAACAAGAGCCACAGCTAAAATGTAAGGATAGATAATGTTGACAGTAAAAGGATAGGAAAAGGTAAATGTGAAAACACTAAAAGAAAGCTGGTATGGTTGTATTAATTTTTCACAAGGTATACTTTAAGGCAAAACCGTTGCTAGGGATGAAGACGGGCACTTCACAATAATGAAAGATTAATTTCATAAGAGACAGTTCTAAATGTTAATGCACCTAGTAACATCGTCTGAAAGTATGTCAAAACAATATGGGCAAAAGAGGAACAGGCACTTCATAAAGGAGGGTATTCAGTTGGCTTGTGAGTGAAGGTGGGCATTCAGCACCATTAGTTATTAGGGAAATATACTGAGATACCACTACACACTCATCCGAAGGGCTAAAAATAAAAAGACTGACAATGGCAGGTGTTGATGAGGAGGTGGAGCAACTAAAACTCTCATCCAATTGCTGGAAGGAGTGAGCAAGTGGACAATATCTACTAAAGCTAAACATGCCTACCCTCGAACTGTCATTTCCACTAATTGGTATATGCCCAAGAGAAGTGACTGTATATGCCCACCAAAAGTCATGCTTACAAGGATGCTTATAGGAGGATTTTTCACAATGGCCCCAAATTGGAGCCAATTCAAATGTCCGTCTATAGTAGAATGGATATATAAATTGTGCTATACTTTTACAATGCAATGTTACGTAGCAGTCAGAAGAATGTGCTACTGCTATGTGTAACAATGTGAATGAAGCTCATAGACATAGTATTAAGCAAAAGAAGCCAGACACAGAGAAATATATACTGTATGATTGCATTATATGCATTTCAAGAACAGGTAAAACTTAATGTTTTATTCTCAGAATAGTGGTGATGAGAGAGAGGAAGCATATTGACTTGGAAGGGCATGAGGACAGCTGAGGTTCTATATCTTGATTTGATTTATGTGGGTGCATACATATAAGAATTCATTGAACTGTATATAGAAGATTTGTGTACTTTATGTGTATTATCCCTTAATAAAAAGATCCAAAAAACAAAAACTGACAGAAGCACTTACAAGGAGAAATAGACAAATTCACAATTATAATGAGATATGTTACACCCCTCTCTCAGTAACTAATAGAAAAAGTAGATTTTAGAAATCGGTAAGGATGTAGAATATTAAAATGACATGATCAAGCAAGTTTGACCTAATGGACACACATGGAACACTGCACCCAGCAACTGAAGAACATGCGTTCTCTTCAAGCTCACATTGAACGTTCATGGATTTGGCCACATGTTGGCCCAAAAGCAAGTCTCAATGAATTTCAAAGGATTAAAATAATTTAGAGTATGCTTGACTGTAAGGCAATTAAGGTAGAGGTCAATTTAAAATGATAATTAGAACATTCCATATATTTGGAAATTAAGAAATACGCTTTTAAATAGCCCACAGTTCAAAGAAGAAATCACAGAGGTGGTAATTAGAGACGTATTTTTTAAATGAGTTATAATAAAAATACATGTTGAAACTTGTGAGATAGAGTTAATGTCATGCTTGGAGGGAATTTACACCCTTAAATGTGTATATTAGAAAAGAAGAAAGGCTGAACATCAGTGAGCTGAGTTTCATCTCAAAAAGCTAGAAAGGGAATTTAATCACTTTAGTCTTTCTCACTTCTGTACCGTCTCATTGCATATGTTGTAATGTATTATAACAACCAGTTTACTTGCTCTTAGTGGAAACAGTGATCCATGAGTCCCTTGGGTTCGGAGATCATGTCTTATTCTTTACATCCTCAGTGCCTAGTGAAGTTCCTTGTGCATGGTTGATACTTGTTTGAACTGAATTGAGCTCATCGTCAGTGTGTTAGGGTTGTTAGAAACCCAGGGCCTCAGCCTCAAGTGCTTACACAGCCAGGCAGGTGATATGATGTGTGAGGCCAACAGGGTGGAGGCAGGTGATGTGATGTGTGAGGCCAACAGGAGAGAGGCAGGCAATGTGATGGTGAGGCTGGCAGGACGGAGGCAGGCGATGTGATGGGTGAGGCAAACAGGATGAGGCGCACAGCAAACTGGAAGACATGTGCCCACCTGAAAGGAGGATGGCTGCTGCTTGATCCTGGATGCTTGTTGCTGTGGGTGAGTGCTGGCTAGACCGCTCCCATTTGTTTATAAGAAGCAGAAATTCAGATTTGAATGTGAAATATCAATTTTCAAAGTGTTGGAAACTAGTTAAAAACAAAACAAAGCGAGTGCCAAACCAACTGCGTGGCCCTATGGCTGCCAGTTTGCACCGTAGATTTTATTTCACACCTTAAATATCCAGCCAGCAGAATCTTGAGCAGCCCCTTCCATCAAGCGTATTTCTGCCTAAAGGAAAGGGGCATGCTCCCTAGTGGGGTTCTGGGCCGCATCAGTAAGAGCTTTGCAGGGTTATGGAAAGCCTTCTTCATAGTCAGCTGTTTACCTCAGCTGAGTCAGACGTGGCTTCCCAAAGAGTTTTTCCTCCTTTTGTTGTAATATTCTTAATGATGCCTTCTGACTTTTTCACTCTGTTTTCCATACATTTGTCACCGCTTCTCCTTTTGGATCTTCATGCCAGGAAATCTGATGCTTATGTGGAAGATTGATTTTTAATGCCCCTTGCATTGTTTTATGGCTGCAACATTTGCATGCAATTATGACATTTTAAAAATAGAAGACCACAGGATTTGCAAAAAAGAATCTTCTCAGCGGGTGAGTAAATGGAAAGGCTCGCCTTTAATTTTGTTTGCATCTCAGTTCCTTCACTGTAACCCTTGTGAAGATTTCTGTCCC